TGTGTTTGTGTATGTTTTGTATGTGTGTGTGTGTATGTTGTGTATGTTGTGTATGTTGTGTATGTTGTGTATGTGTGTGTATGTGTGTGCGTATGTTGTGTATGTGTGTATATGTTTCTGCGGGTTGGTGTCCAGTGTCTAAGTTGTAATTACCTAGTTGTGCTTCCTAGAGCTGAGTGGCATTCTTCCAGCCCCGCTTCCCACTACTAGTCACGCTTCCCAACACCCCGTTTATATATATATATATATATATATATATATATATATATATATATATATATATATATATATATATATATATATATATATATATATATATATATATATATATATATATGTTGTTAAATATGACCGAAAAAGTAAGATTAATAATTCTAACACGAATTTTTTCTATATTTCTTATGTTTCTTTTTACTGTCGATGGTAATTGAAAAATCAATTCTCCAAAATTCACTTTTATTTCTAGTCTGACGCGACGCTTGAACGCGTTTCGTAATAACTTATTACATTTTCAAAGACATTAGTTTGCACACACACAACTGTAACCTGAAAACACTAAACAGAGTTTTACTTATGCTAACACTTCAGAGAAACCTTCGATATAGAACAAGTGCATGGACGGATAATCTGGCCAAGATTCTAGAGAAAGTGGACTGGAAATGGACCATTAACAACAAAGAGGAAGATAGACCATATCAACACTTTCGGCAGCCTCCTCCATGGGAAGAATCGAGTCTAAAGATTATCATTGAAGGATTACCAGTTAAAAAATCATCATGTGACCCACAGAGGCTCAAAGCAGTCATAGAACAACAAATGGAAACCATCTCAAGACCCACAAGGACTCACATCTTCACAGACGGATCAGTTGATCAAGAAAATAAGAACACAGGTAACTGCAGAAGGCCTATTGGCCCATACGAGGCAGCTCCTATTTATAATCACCCAATCCCACTTATATATACATGTCCAACCCACGCTTGAAACAATCGAGGGACCCCACCTCCATTACGTTTCGTGGTAACTGGTTCCACAAATCAACAACCCTGTTACCGAACCAGTATTTACCCAAGTCTTACTTGGGTAAATACTGGTTCCAATTTATACCCCATTAAGAAAGAGGTTCTGCTGGGGCAGCAGTTTACACTACCAACAATTAAGTTTACTGGAGCATGAACAGTGGATGCTCAACATTGCAAACAAAATTATATACCCTGAAGGAGGCCATAAATTATTAAATTGGGAATAATTTACATGATGTCATCATTTATTCCGACTGTAAACCTTCGCTGCAGGCATTGTTATCCAGCCAGCACAGAGATAATATGCAACTCATCATAGAAATCGAACATATAAGAAAAGAAGCACACAATCTAGGACTGTCAATCACCCTAAATTGGATACCAAGTCACACTGGCATAGATGGTACTGAAAAGGTAGACTCACTAGCAAAAACTGCCGCTGCTCTACCTGTTGTACAGGTTCAAATACCTCCAAGTTTTTCACAGATAAAGGAGCAAATCAAGAAGAAAATATTTCCAATTATCAAAAGTCGCCACAGAGCCAAAGTAGCGGAAGGAAGATCCACTACGATATGGTACGAACAAGCCACTGGTTACTACTTTTTCAAGCCTGACAAAAAGATATCCAGAGACATTACAGTAGCCATACACAGACTCAGACTTGGTTACAAGTGCTGCTGGGAGGTAATAAACCCAATAGTTTAAGAGTGTTATATCTGTGGAACAGAAGCAGAGGCGCCACAATTGCACTACTTACTGGAATGTGAAGCTACTGAAGCCCTGCGCATCACGTTCAACATTAATCCAAAGACAGCAGCTGCATTAGATGCACATTCCACCGCGACTACAATGATTAGAAAAGCAGTTGAAGAATGGGACACACTAGCGAACACTGTGCATTTACATCCGCCACCAAGATAATGACAGAAGCGAAAAAGAAACAGGGAAAAAGAAGGAAACCCCACCTCCATTTAAAACTTTGACCCAAATATCAGAGTAACAAGGTTATCACGAATAACCAAACTCAATTACGGGCTCACCATAGCCCGTGCTACGTGGACATTTAGTTCCGAGTAACGAAATCTAAAACAACAACAACAACAGTAGAATTTGTGTTACAGGCTATTCATACCCGTGCCACCTATTGGGTGGCTTAATCTTCATCAATCATCAATCGTAGAATTTGTCTTTGAGAATGTGAGGTGAGACCTTATGAAAGACATCACTAGGCATCAGACTCCAGACCTGGCACACGAGCGGGGCTAGTAGCACGGGCTATGGTGAGCCCGTAGTGGACTTACCTGGCACAGGAGCGGGGCTAGTAGCACGGGCTATGGTGAGCCCGTAGTGGACTTACCTGGCACAGGAGCGGGGCTAGTAGCACGGGCTATGGTGAGCCCGTAGTGGACTTACCTGGCACAGGAGCGGGGCTAGTAGCACGGGCTATGGTGAGCCCGTAGTGGACTTACCTGGCACAGGAGCGGGGCTAGTAGCACGGGCTATGGTGAGCCCGTAGTGGACTTACCTGGCACAGGAGCGGGGCAAGTAGCACGGGCTATGGTGAGCCCGTAGTGGACTTACCTGGCACAGGAGCGGGGCTAGTAGCACGGGCTATGGTGAGCCCGTAGTGGACTTACCTGGCACAGGAGCGGGGCTAGTAGCACGAGCTGTGGTGAGCCCGTAGTGGACTTACCTGGCACAGGAGCGGGGCAAGTAGCACGGGCTATGGTGAGCCCGTAGTGGACTTACCTGGCACAGGAGCGGGGCAAGTAGCACGGGCTATGGTGAGCCCGTAGTGGACTTACCTGGCACAGGAGCGGGGCAAGTAGCACGGGCTATGGTGAGCCTCGTGGACGGGAGATGTCTCCTGTCTCTTACTGTGTTTAACTTCAGAATATATATTCTCTGGGTGAGGTGGTGGATGACTGCCACAACAAGGGGGTATTAACTGGGTATTAAATGTTTTAATGAATAAAAGGATCAAAAGGGAAATGGATTAAATTATAATCATATTATTCAAAAATATTTTAGTAATAACTGTGTCTAGTTAAGTACGTACTATCTATATGTGTCTCCTGGTTAGTTCACAATTCTCGTTAAATAAAGTGACATTGGATTACTTATCGATTCCTCATAGTATTTTGAAATTAAATTGAGATCCATTCTAAACAATTTTGACTGTTCCCTCAATCCGCCGCAAAAAGCTCCTTACAGTGTGGTTATCTTGAGATCTTGAGGTTATCTTGAGATGATTTCGGGTCTTTTTTTTTAGTGTCCCCGCGGCAAGGTCCTAGACCAGGCCTCCACCCCCAGGAAGCAGCCCGTGACAGCTGACTAACACCCAGGTACCTATTTTACTGTTAGGTAACAGAGGCATAGGGTCAAAGAAACTCTGTCCATTGTTTCTCGCCGGCGCCCGGGATCGAACCCAGGACCACAGGATCACAAGTCCAGCGTGCTGTCCGCTCGGCCGACCGGCTCCCTGGTTCAGTTGTGGATCAGTTGTTGTGCCTATAATCTTCAGAAACTGAATGTGTCTCTTAACCCTGATAAAACTGTTCACTATATTCCCCCTTGGAAAGATGTGGAGGTCTCTCTGCATTACACTCCCATCAGTGTAAAACAAATGTATAACACTGACATTTTGAGATGTATAACATTAGAAGCTATTGACAGTCATCTTCAAATTCTCAAACCGACTGAATCCTATGCCTTTACTGATGGCTCTGTGCAGTTAGGCACTGGTAGAACAGGTTGTGCATGTGCAGTATATAAAGGGAATGAAATGATCATGTCTAGTACACAGAGATTGAACAACTGGGCAAGCACGACACAGACCGAGCTATTGGGCATTTATCTAGCCACTGAATACCTTAAACTCAATGGTGGTGGAGTTATTTTCTGTGACTCTAAAAGTGCTCTGCAGTCCTTAAATAACCCATCACAATGTATGTCGGAAGTAGTATTAAATTAATATTAATATTAATTAGTATTAATATTAAATGGAATGTAATTTTTGCCAATGATAATAACTCTTGTATAAAATTTGTGTGGATCCCATCCCATGTTGGAGTTGGAAAACATGACTTTGTAGATCGATTGGCCAATGAGGCTTGCAGGAAAGAAAACATTGATTATGACTTTGGACTATCTTATGCAGTTATTAGAAACATACACATTAAAGAAATTAATTCAGATTTAGAAGAACTAAGAAATGCCCAGAGACCTGAAAGCTGCAGTATTAAAAGTTATGACAAGTTCTGTAATAATAGGTATTTGTATGGTCAGCACAGTAACCGGACCAGGCAATGTGATGTAGTAATTGCGCGAATTCGCCTTGGCTATAGACACATCTGGCAGGTTAGTGTAGCTGAGCCACTACCAGAATATTCAGATTGGAAACTCTGAAAAACCTTTAATCCATTCACTAGGACACTATATTGTTGGGTGTGAAACCGTAAAGGACTTTAGACCTCCTGGCCTCTTGTACCACCAACTGTGTAACTATTTAATTAACTCAGGTGTTCTGGACGACATCCTAACAATTTACCCAAAATTTGCTTGTCCATTTTAAAGAATGAAGAACAATTTTATTTATATTACTTCTAAGCTGCATCACGTATGAACCCATCCCTGTCCTTGTGTGGCAGTGCACAGAAGAAAGTTGTTTTCACATCTCCATACATTAAAACATTGATTGTGACCATGATATATATGTGCTTCGGCCTACAGTTTAGACCTATTGTCTTATGTATGACCCTCTGTCCTGCGTGACAGTGAATACTAGCATTATCCTCACTTAAGACTTAATCGAAATCCACAGATAAGGCAAAATTGTAATTAATTTTGTCAATAAGGCTATTAATAATAATAATAATAATAATCATTTCTCCCATGTTTCTTCTGTTCTTCGTAACTTTAAATTTAGTTCCTTTGATCTGTCCTCACAAGTTATGCCTCATATATCCGAGACAATTCTCATGACTGAAAAAATAGAGCAGAATCAGTCTTTAAGTTATTGTTGCATTTTCTAATGTTTATTTTTTTAACATGATGAACACAGAACTCTTTGTGGATAGTTGTACAAGTTGTGCCAGTGATCTCGTCCTTACAGAACTGTGGATCAGCTCCAGGGGAGTGGGAGATGTGTGCAGCTTTGTGCAGTCTCTCTTATTGGTTGCATGTTGCAGCGGCTTGGCGCTTTCGTCCACACCTGTCTCTTCCACAGCTGTCTCTTCCACAGGTGTGTCTTCCACAGCTGTCTCTTCCACAGCTGTCTCTTCCACAGGTGTGTGGCTGCCAGCAGCAACACATGTTCCAGTAACAACAATGTACTGTAGGATCAACGTTATTATAGTTTAATCAACGACGCCCGGTGATTCCGGGGGTCAACGTCCCCGCGGCCCGGTCTCTGGCCAGGCCTCATGGTTGGTGTTCTATTCAACCAGACTGTCGGCCGCGGCTGACGTATGAATAACAGCCTGGTTGATCAGGTTTCCTTTGGAGGTGCTTATCCAGTTTTTTATTTTGAAAAACTGTGTTTTTCATGTGTGGGAAATCTTCGAAACCTCGTTACCGATTACTTTGAAATTTTGACACAACGTTGCTTTCGAATTACACACAGAAATCACAATAGCGTGATGCATCAAATGAACAAATCGACAAGGGCCGTGACGAGGATTCGAACCTGCGTCCGGGAACATCCCAAACGCTACCTAAATCGACTGAGCTACGACAAGGAACATTTCCATGTCGTTGTTCAGTCGATTAAGGCAGTGTCTGGGATGCTCTCGGACGTTGGTTCGAATCCTCGTCACGGAACTTGTGGATTTGTTGCTTTCGAATACGCGCGTGTTTCTATATACCTACTATATATATGCCACACCGGTGACAGGTAAAAACATGCTTTTTTTAAAACAGCGCCATCTGCTGCACATAATAGCAACACACGCTATACCAAATATGTTATGATTCCATTTCAATGTTTCCGATTGCATTGATAAATTGAATTTTCATAGATTTCGATTTATTTTCATTTCGATTTAATTAATTTGTGTGACATGACACTGGAATCGAGCAGTGTTGTGTACCATACCGTTCATTTTGTGTGTATAATTTATTTATTTTTTAATTCTTTTCCATTTCGTTTTTTTTAACTGTTGTAATAATTTTTTGTGATGGAAACATCAGCTCATTTGATGTTCCCATTTTTCTGATGGGAACACCAGATAATTTGTAATGCATTGGATGAGGGAGAAGGGAATGATGGGGAGGACGAGGGGACGGGGGAGGGGAGAATGGTGGGGAGGACGAGGGGACGGGGGAGGGGAGAATGCTGGGGAGGACGGGGGATAGTTGCTGTGCCTCACAGCAACGCGTGGCCGGGTACAGCTAATATATAATAATTACGTAATGTAATACATCATGACTCTTCCCATGTGATCATATTATTAGAAAATAACATTTTCCCCTCAAACGTAATTATAATTTGGCTGCCCATCTGACCTCACACATGTGTGGCAATTGTCAAACCTGGCCGTATGTTGAGTAGCTGGCCTACAGGTAGCATAGTCGAGCGAAACATCTAAACCACTCATAAAACACTAACTACGGTCACACTTTGTTCAGAAGATCTTGTGTATTACTGCGTATTTGAAGGAGAAGCTTTAATACACACCGTATCATACACACAGGTGCCCACACACCTGGAGAGACACCTGCACACTGCGGCCACCTGTGATTGCGACCACCTCCCTTCCCGGGGTCTTGTGGCTCACCTGGAAAAAAAAAATAGAATAATGCTAAGATTTTATCATTATACACAAATGCAATTTCGTGCAATATGTAAATCATTTGTTTGTCACATTCAACTGTTAAGATCAATTGTTTTCTTTAGCATATGTGAATGGTGCAGTTAATTTAATAACTACAAATGAACGTCATCTGGACATGTGGCCCCATACATATGGACATGTGGCCCCATACATGTGGACATGTGGCCCCATACATGTGGACATGTGGCCTCATACATGTGGACATGTGGCCCCCATACATCTGGTCTACACCAGATTGGTCTACTGTAGGATGGTGTTCTGTAGGATGATCTACTATAGGAAAGTCTACTGTAGGATGGTCTACTGTAGGATGGTCTACTGTAGGATGGTCTACTGTAGGATGGTATACTGTAGGATGGTCTACTGTAGGATGGTCTGCACCAGCTTGGTCTACCGTAGGATGGTCTACTCCAGCTTGGTCTACTGTAGGATGGTCTACTGTAGGATGGTCTACACCAGCTTGGTCTACTGTAGGATGGTGTTCTGTAGGATGGTCTACTGTTGTATGGTCTACTGTAAGATGGTCTACTGTAGGATGATCTACTGAAGGATGATCTACTGTAGGATGGTCTACACCACCTTGGTCTACAGTAGGATGGTCTACTGTACGATGGTCTACTGAAGGATGGTCTACTGAAGGATGGTCTACTGTAGGATGGTCTACTCCAGCTTGGTCTACAGTAGGATGGTCTACTGTAGGATGGTGTACTGTAGGATGATCTACTGTAGGATGATATACTGTAGGATGGTGTACTGTAGGATGGTCTACTGTTGGATAGTCTACTGTAGGATGGTCTACTGAAGGATGGTCTACTGTAGGATGGTGTACTGTAGGATGATCTACTGTAGGATGGTCTACTGTAGGATGGTGTACTGTAGGATGGTCTACTGTTGGATAGTCTACTGTAGGATGGTCTACTGAAGGATGGCCTACTGTAGGATAGTGTTCTGTAGGATGGGGTACTGTAGGATGGTCTACTGTAGGATGGTCTACTGAAGGATGGTCTACTGTTGGATGGTCTACTGTAAGATGGTTTACTGTTGGATGGTCTACTGTAGGATTGTCTACTGAAGGATGGTCTACTGTAGGATGGTGTACTGTAGGATGGTCTACTGTAGGATGGTCTACTAGCGGATGGTATACTGTAGGATGGTCTACTAAAGGATGGTGTAATGTAGGATGGTCTACTGAAGGATGGTCTACTGTAGGATGGTCTACTGTAGGAAGGTCTACTGTAGGATGGTCTACTGAAGGATGGTCTACTGTAGGATGGTCTACTCCAGCTTGGTCTACTGTAGGATGGTCTACTGAAGGATGGTGTACTGTAGGATGGTCTACTGTTGGATAGTCTACTGTAGGATGGTCTACTGTAGGATGGTGTACTGTAGGATGGTCTACTGAAGGATGGTCTACTGTAGGATGGTCTACTGAAGGATGGTCTATTGTAGGATGGTCTACTGTAGGATGGTCTACTGTTGGATGGTCTACTGTAGGATGGTCTACTGTAGGATGGTCTACTGTAGGATGGTCTACTGTAGGATGGTCTACTGAAGGATGGTCTATTGTAGGATGGTCTACTGTAGGATGGTCTACTGTTGGATGGTCTACTGTAGGATGGTCTACTGTAGGATGGTCTACTGTAGGATGGTCTACTATAGGATGGTCTACTGTAGGATGGTCTACTGTAGGATGGTCTACTGTTGGATAGTCTACTGTAGGATGGTCTACTGTAGGATGGTGTACTGTAGGATGGTCTACTGAAGGATGGTCTACTGTAGGATGGTCTGCATCAGCTTGGTCTACATACTAAGGGAGGTATACAGGTATACTAGAGGGAGTATACAGGCATACTAGAGGGGGTATACTAGAGGGGGTATACTAGATGAGGTATACAGGTATACAAGAGGGAGTATACAGGTATACTAGAGGGAGGTATACAGGTATACTAGAGGGGGTATACAGGTATACTAGAGGGAGTATACAGGTATACTAGAGGGGGTATACATGTATAATAGAGGGAGTATACAGGTATACTAGAGGATGTATACAGGTATACTAGAGGGAGTATACAGGTACACTAGAGGGGGTATACTAGAGGAGGTATGCAGGTATACAAGAGGGAGTATACAGGTATACTAGAGGGAGGTATACAGGTATACTAGAGGGGTATACAGGTATACTAGAGGGAGTATACAGGTATACTAGAGGGGGTATACAGGCATACTAGAGGGAGTATACAGGTATACTAGAGGATGTATACAGGTATACTAGAGGGAGTATACAGGTATACTAGAGGGGGTATACTAGAGGAGGTATACAGGTATACTAGAGGGGGTATACTAGAGGAGGTATACAGGTATACTAGAGGGGGTATACTAGAGGAGGTATACAGGTATACTAGAGGGGTATACAGGTATACTAGAGGGAGTATACAGGTATACTATAGGGGGTATACAGGTATACTAGAGGGAGTATACAGGTATACTAGAGGGGGTATACAGGTATACTTGAGGGAGTATACAGGTATACTAGAGGGCGTATACAGTTATACTAGATGAAGTATACAGGTATACAATAGGGGGTATACCTAAAGAACAGAATCCTGCTATATAATGTAATATACTTATTAATAGTATATTTATTATAATCTACTCAACGTTTCGAGCCAAAACGTTTCATTGGTAGTCCGTGAAGACACGAGGAACCATCTGATCTATGAGGTTGTTGTTGTTGATGATTCAGCTCCTCGGAACAACACGTTTCAAGTATCACGGGCTATGGCGATCCCGGAGTGGACTAAGGGAAGTAAGTTGGATTTACAATGATGTCAGGAGAAGGGCCAGTGTGGTGACGTGCCCAATACACTAAGCATGTGTCTAGACCTGGCTGTGGCCTAGACACCCACAGACCTGGCTGTGGCCTAGACACACCCACAGACCTGGCTGTGGCCTAGACACCCACAGACCTGGCTGTGGCCTAGACACACCCACAGACCTGGCTGTGGCCTAGACACACCCACAGACCTGGCTGTGGCCTAGACACACCCACAGACCTGGCTGTAGCCTAGACACACCCAAAGACCTGGCTGTGGCCTAGACACACCCACAGACCTGGCTGTGGCCTAGACACACCCACAGACCTGGCTGTGGCCTAGACACACCCACAGACCTGGCTGTGGCCTAGACACACCCACAGACCTGGCTGTGGCCTAGACACACCCACAAACCTGGCTGTGGCCTAGACACACCCACAGACCTGGCTGTGGCCTAGACACACCCACAGACCTGGTTGTGGCCTAGACACACCCACAGACCTGGCTGTGGCCTAGACACACCCATAGACCTGGCTGTGGCCTAGACACACCCACAGACCTGGCTGTGGCCTAGACACACCCACAGACCTGGCTGTGGCCTAGACACACCCACAGACCTGGCTGTGACCTAGACACACCCACAGACATGGCTGTGGCCTAGACACACCCACAGACCTGGCTGTGGCCTAGACACACCCACAGACCTGGCTGTGGCCTAGACACACCCACAGACCTGGCTGTGGCCTAGACACCCACAGACCTGGCTGTGGCCTAGACACACCCACAGACCTGGCTGTGGCCTAGACACACCCACAGACCTGGCTGTGGCCTAGACACACCCACAGACCTGGCTGTGGCCTAGACACACCCACAGACATGGCTGTGGCCTAGACACAGGAGCACAAGTGACAAGACGGTAGAGTTGTTGTGTTGCCCCTGCGCGGCCCGGGTCTCCTCACACCTGGCCAGTACTGCCTCTTAGAATGACTCCCTAACTGCTAAAATTAACAATATATCAAATTTAGACGTCAAATTTCCCCCAACGGACAAAATATGATGTACAACAAATCATAGCGGCTCATAAAAACCTCCGTTTTCTATGCTGGAGGGTGTTTGTTTAGGTTAGGTTAGGTTCGGGTGGTTCTATACGATATTTTCTGTACATGTTGGGAATACGGACTGAGGCTTCATCACTGTCTGTCTGTCTGTCTGTGGTGCAATACCTGAGCAACCGTGATAGGGTGTTAACAGCCTTTAATCATATAAATTAATGATTAGTTTAAATAACCTGGTGACTAATGGGAGTTAGTTGATGCGAGTGTGAGGCAGGTGTCGCCGCCTGCTGCCTCAACATTAATCTCGCCGGCACGCTGTCCCCGCTCATCCCTTTATTAATGGTGGAAGCTCTTGAATGTGTGGTACACACCACTAACGATCTCTAACACCTCAAAACACCTGAGAAGACACCAGAACACCTGACAAGAGACCAGAACACCTGAGAAGACACCAGAACACCTGAGAAGACACCAGAACACCTGAGAAGACACCAGAACACCTGAGAAGAGACCAGAACACCTGAGAAGACACCAGAACACCTGAGAAGACACCAGAACACCTGAGAAGACACCAGAACACCTGAGAAGAGACCAGAACACCTGAGAAGACACCAGAACACCTGAGAAGACACCAGAACACCTGAGAAGACACCAGAACACCTGAGAAGAGACCAGAACACCTGAGAAGAGACCAGAACACCTGAGAAGAGACCAGAACACCTGAGAAGAGACCAGAACACCTGAGAAGAGACCAGAACACCTGAGAAGACACCAGAACACCTGAGAAGAGACCAGAACACCTGAGAAGACACCAGAACACCTGAGAAGACACCAGAACACCTGAGAAGACACCAGAACACCTGAGAAGAGACCAGAACACCTGAGAAGAGACCAGAACACCTGAGAAGAGACCAGAACACCTGAGAAGAGACCAGAACACCTGAGAAGAGACCAGAACACCTGAGAAGATACCAGAACACCTGAGAAGAGACCAGAACACCTGAGAAGAGACCAGAACACCTGACAAGAGACCAGAACACCTGAGAAGACACCAGAACACCTGACAAGAGACCAGAACACCTGAGAAGACACCAGAACACCTGAGAAGACACCAGAACACCTGACAAGAGACCAGAACACCTGAGAAGATACCAGAACACCTGACAAGAGACCAGAACACCTGAGAAGACACCGGAACACCTGACAAGAGACCAGAACACCTGAGAAGACACCAGAACACCTGACAAGAGACCAGAAAACCTGAGAAGACACCAGAACACCTGACAAGAGACCAGAACACCTGAGAAGATACCAGAACACCTGGCAAGAGACCAGAACACCTGACAAAAGACCAGAACACCTGACAAGAGACCAGAACACCTGGCAAGAGACCAGAACACCTGACAAGAGACCAGAACACCTGACAAAAGACCAGAACACCTGACAAGAGACCAGAACACCTGGCAAGAGACCAGAACACCTGACAAGAGACCAGAACACCTGACAAGAGACCAGAACACCTGACAAGAGACCAGAACACCTGGCAAGAGACCAGAACACCTGACAAGAGACCAGAACACCTGCCAAGAGACCAGAACACCTGACAAGAGACCAGAACACCTGACAAGAGACCAGAACACCTGACAAGAGACCAGAACACCTGACAAGAGACCAGAACACCTGACAAGAGACCAGAACACCTGACAAGAGACCAGAACACCTGGCAAGAGACCAGAACACCTGACAAGAGACCAGAACACCTGACAAGAGACCAGAACACCTGACAAGTGACCAGAACACCTGACAAGAGACCAGAACACCTGACAAAAGACCAGAACACCTGACAAGAGTCCAGAACACCTGGCAAGAGACCAGAACACCTGACAAGAGACCAGAACACCTGACAAGAGACCAGAACACCTGGCAAGAGACCAGAACACCTGGCAAGAGACCAGAACACCTGACAAGAGACCAGAACACCTGACAAGAGACCAGAACACCTGGCAAGAGACCAGAACACCTGGCAAGAGACCAGAACACCTGGCAAGAGACCAGAACACCTGACAAGAGACCAGAACACCTGACAAGAGACCAGAACACCTGGCAAGAGACCAGAACACCTGACAAGAGACCAGAACACCTGACAAGAGACCAGAACACCTGACAAGAGACCAGAACACCTGGCAAGAGACCAGAACACCTGGCAAGAGACCAGAACACCTGACAAGAGACCAGAACACCTGGCAAGAGACCAGAACACCTGGCAAGAGACCAGAACACCTGACAAGAGACCAGAACACCTGACAAGAGACCAGAACACCTGACAAGAGACCAGAACACCTGACAAGAGACCAGAACACCTGACCAAACATGTCAGACTATACTCCCGTCATGGTAACTCATCAGCAGCTCAACCAACCATTCAAAATGAACTGAAAGAGTCAACAAAGTTCATGTTTTGTAGTATTAATTATTAGAGGCCACGAAAAGACGATTGAAAACTGAACCTTAGGCCTCCCCCTAGGCCTAGTGTAGCACACATGTGTATTGGGCCTATGGTAGCCTACACTAGGCTTGGGAGTCCTTGGACAGGTTAGTGTAGGTTAGGTTCAGTGTGGGGTAGGTCGGGTTAGGTTCAGTGTGGGTAGGTCGGGTCAGGTTCAGTGTGTGTAGGTCGGGTTAGGTTCAGTGTGGGTAGGTCGGGTTAGGTTCAGTATGGGTAGGTCGGGTTAGGTTCAGTGTGGTGTAGGTCGGGTCAGGTTCAGTGTGGGGTAGGTCGGGTTAGGTTCAGTGTGGGGTAGGTCGGGTCAGGTTCAGTGTGGGTAGGTCGAGTCAGGTTTAGTGTGGGTAGGTCGAGTCAGGTTTAGTGTAGGTAGGTCGGGTCAGGTTCAGTGTGGGTAGGTCGGGTTAGGTTCAGTGTGGGGTAGGTCGGGTCAGGT